TTCTCCCTGTGCTTGCATGCGTTTACTCCAGTTTCCTCCCCACTCCAAAGACATGCTGGAAGGTTTGTGTGTGTGTGTGTGTGTGGGTGTGTGTGTGTGTGTGTGGGTGTGTGTGTGTGTGTGTGGGTGTGTGTGTGTGTGTGTGTGTGTGTGTTTTGCGCTCCTTGTATGTAATATGTATATAGATCCCTGTAATAAAGAAACCTCTATGACGGCGCTGACTATCTGCCCTGCAGCACTTCACGCTCCCCTAAGCGCGCTTCTTGATGCAGAAGTGAAAGCAGGAAACGCACCAGATAAGACATTTGCATTTCAAATTGTCGGATTCTCATGCAAAGAGATTGTTATCTGAACGCAGAAAGACGAAACCAAAAAAAGTCTCCTCACCGTTACCACCAACATGTAGATCGCACGGGACGTTAACAGTAATCAATCGATGTGACCAGAAATAAAAGCCCGTAGATCAGGGATTGTTACAATGTATTCTTGTTGGTTAATACAGAATCGATTATTGTTACTTTGTCCCATGTGATGAACCGTGTGGGTGCCTGCTAAGGAAGGACGTGGTACCTGTTAATGAAGGACGTGGTACCAGAACCAGATATTACGCAACCTCGCCATTACCGCGATGAACTAAAGAGCAGTACATTTAGGAAGCAATAATCCCAACGCCGCCACTGGACCTGAACAATGGCAGGAAGGAGGACGGAGAGCAGGAAATCCCTCCAGATCTTTTCATCTCGTTTTCACTTGTATTCTATGGCAGTGAAACAGGCCGGGCCGCATTGCGACATCCACATCGAAGATAAGCACGTGAATGGCACATGATATCTGGGGACCGGTGGCCGGATTGTACAAAGATTGGCCAGCCACAGATACCGTTACCGATGTCATACTGTACAAGGTTAAAGGGCCAGTCCAACTATAACATGATTCTTCAGTGTCTGGCGGATTCCACGCTATTGTGCACCAGGTTAAAGCTGAACTCCGGGCACAAAAACTTTCATTTTCATGTATTTCTCAATAGCCACAAAAGATATAAATCTGTTTTGTGGGCATTAAACATGGCTGCAAACCCAGTTTTGGTGGACAGACCTTCCAACTATCCTTTAAAGTGGAAAAAGAAAAAGAAAATCCCTTTAAAAAGGAGAGGGAAAGGGTTACCATACTGCTGCCTGCTTGCCCTTTTCACTTCCTGTTCCAGTGACATCTTGTGTATCAGGTGTCACCAAGGCAGGAAGTGAGGGCGAACCTCCCCCAATGAGCACACAGACAGCTATGATAGACTGACCCTATACGCCTTGTATATTAGGATGTCACCAAGGCAATAAGTGAGGGGGAACCTCCCCCAATGAGCACACAGAGAGCAATGATAGACTGACTCCATGCATCTTATATATTAGGGGGTCACCAAGGCAGCAAGTGTGGGGAAACCTCCCCCCAATGAGCAGACAAGACACCAATAATATACAAGATGTATAGAATAAGTCTATCATAGCTGTCTGTGTGCACATTTATGGAGGTTTCCTCTCACTTCCTGCCTTGGTGACACCCTGATAGACTGACTCTATACATCTTGTATATCAGGGTGTCACCAAGGCAAGAAGTTAGAGAAAACCTCACCCCTAATGAGCACACGATATACAGAGTCAGTCTATCGTAGCTGTCTGTGTGCTCATTGGGGGAGGAGGTTCCCCCTCACTCCCTGCCATGGTGACACCCTGATATACAAGATGTACAGAGTCAGTCTATCAGGGTGTCACCAAGGCAGGAAGTGAGGGGGAACCTCCCCAAATGTGCACACAGACAGCAATGCTAGACTGACCACAGGTTTTAACCCTTCCCCACTTCATCCAAAACCAACGTTAAGCTCTATATAGATCACAGCTATACTAGCAACATACACCTAGAATGTCCAGTTGGCAAATACAAGCCAAAGCCATCTACTTACAAGAGGTGTGGAATTGAATACGGCTTCGTACAGACGGGTGTTAGTATTTCCAGAGCGCAGTACACCAGGGGTGGACAAATTAATATGGAACTCAGGAGCCAGTCTGTCCAATCCCGGCACCAACAGGATATTTTTTTAGGAGCCAGCTCCATTGGTGACAACTAGAGAAAACCTTAAAATTTGGGCGCCAACTGTCATTTTTAGGGAACATTGTCTCCCGAGATTTGTCCAGCCGTGGCGTACACACCAACATGTAGCAGGAAGTATCGGAAGTATCTGGTGAGGAAGTATCTGGTGAGCGTTTTTTGCTCGTTGACCTTTTAAAGCCCCTTCCAGAAAGTCAATACAAAATCAGCAACTCAGATAAAGATAAGCTGCTTCCTCCTGCACACAATGCTCCGTCCTGGGAAGAGGGGGTGTAATGACCACGTGCTTTCTAATTTGCATCCCGCAAGATGCCTTTTTTTTTGTATGAGCGGTCTCATTAAAGTCGAACCGTGCATACCCAGCTGTAGACATTGGAATACAAAGCCCATGTGTACGAAGCCGGGACTGGCGCTCGTGTGGCCCATCTTAGATTGGTATTTGTGCCCAGCGGACCGGATCTATTGCACCCAAACAGCACTGGAGTTTGCTCCGAGCCCTTTAAAGGACAGAATGCCCAAAGTTCAGCAGTAACTCAGAACTGTGAAAACACGACCTCAGCTGTTTGTAGAATGACTCGGGATGTGTCGAGGGCAAACACTGAACTTTGTCACACAAAACGCTGACGATATACTGGCCTCAGGGTGACTCCCTTAAGGGAAACACCTGCCTGTGCCGGGGAGATTAGGGAGGTTCAGCCTGGTGTCGGAGCAAAAGGTCCAAGTCTCAATTCTGAATGATGACCAGGTCTCTTAACCCCCCCCAACCTGCCCGGGTCACCGTAGGTTACATAACAAGTACAGAATACAATCACAGAAATTTCCCAGAGCGCGGCTGGACGGCATCGTGATAAATGTAAAGCAAAGCCGGCCGAGCAGAAGTCACAGCGGCCTGGGAAACCAGAACGACCGGTTCTCTTTAACCCCATATCATCTAAAGCAGGGCTAGGAAAACTCCGGCCATCCAGCTGTTCTGGGACTACAAATCCCATGAGGCATTGCAAGACCGACAGCCACAGGCATGACTCCCAGAGGCATGATGGGATGGGCAGTTTCCTACACCTGGAGGGCCAGGGTTTGCCCAACCTGATCTAAAGAATTACAATACCAAACGCAGAGCTCTGTGCGATTGGCTAAAATATTTCAGTATACAATTCCCTATAAACATCAACGGGCAGTCACCATGTACAAGAAGCCAAGACCAACAGCAACCAGAATCCACCATTTTACTTTAAATCGGTTAAAAGGCGATTGCCGATTGGCTGTCGAGGCAGCACTTTGCACATCGGTCTTTGCCTTATTGCAGAAGCCCCAAAAGAGTTCCCAAAGACATGTCATAATAGTCACACACATATGTATAAATACGTCCCCGATTGTCAGCTTTAGGTACAACGAAAAATAAAAGACATCTTAATGGCATAGACACCATAACAAATGGCAGAGCCCGACTGGCAATGGGTGCCCATGTGGTATGATGACATCTTAATTGCCTAGCACCATAAGATATGGCATATAAGACACAATCAGATTGGCAATGGGTGCCCATGTGGTACAATGTCATCTGAATTGCATAGACACCATAACACATGGCACATAAGGCACAATCAGATTGGCAATGGGTACCCATATAGGACATCTTAGCTACACAGGCACCATAACATGAGGCACAATCAGCTTGGCAATGGGTGCCCATGTGGTATGATGACATCTTAGCTGCGCAGACAACATAACATATGGCATATCAGGCATAATCGGATTGCCAATGAGTGCCCATATAGTACGATGACATATTGGTTGCATTGTCATCATAACAGATAACATATAAAGCACAACCAGATTGGCAAAGGATGCCCATGTGCTACAATGACATCTTAGTTGCATAGGCACCATGACATAAGGCACAATCGGATTGGCAATGAGTGCCCATATAGTACGATGACATATAAGTTGCATTGTCATCATAACAGATAACATATAAAGCACAACCAGATTGGCAATGGGTGCCCATGTGGTACAATGACATCTTAGTTGCATAGACATCACAACATAAATCATATAAGGCACATCTAGATTGGCATTGGATACCATATAGTTTGAGGACATCTTAGTTGCATAGACACCATAACACGTGCTTTATATGCCATCTGGATTGGCAATGGGTGCCCATGTGGTACGATGACATCTTAGTTGCATAGACACCATAACATATGGCATATGAGGCACAACCAGATTGGCAATGGGTGGCCATGTGATACAATGACTGCTTATTTGTATAGACACCATAACATATGGCATGAGGCACAACCAGATTGGCAATGGGTGCCCATGTGATACAATGACTGCTTATTTGTATAGACACCATAACATATGGCATATGAGGCACAACATGTTTGGCAATGGGTGCCCATGTTGTACGATGACATCTTAGTTGCATAGACACCATAAGATATGGCATATGAGGCACAACCAGATTGGCAATGGGTGGCCATGTGATACAATGACTGCTTATTTGTATAGACACCATAACATATGGCATATGAGGCACAACCAGATTGGCAATGGGTGCCCATTGGGCAGGGATACCCAATGAAGGTCTTTGACACAAGTGCGGAGATTGAGGAAGATGAACATCATACAAAACGTGGAAATCTTTGGTTGGCACAGATCCAGACACACGGCACCCAGCCAGAAGCTCTCGTAAAGTCACAGATCATCAATGTACAACTCCATAAATCACACAGGGAAAGGCTTGGAACGAAGAGATGGATTCTGGCGGCGGCAGAAAAAATAAAGTTTAAAAAAAAAAAGGATGTTCTGTCCTTAAGGCTCCTTCATGACGGTAATGAGCGGCAGTGGCTGAGGTCACAGCAGCAACGTGAACCGGAGTCGGCTTCCCGCCTGTGGAATTCCTGAGTAAACTTTATGACTTTGGTCGCAGTTTTGGTCGCTAGATAGGCAGAGCTGGCGCTTCACAGCCTGGCGTAATTTTTGCACAGCACGTGGTCTCTTACGTCGCCCCAGCCTCCGTTCACCATGGGCGGCGGGTTGCGCACCTCCTGCTGCCTGGCGGCCACTTCGACAGTTTTTGGGAAGAGGCGCCCGCTCAGCTGCCGCACTTTCTCCCTGAGGGCTTGCGAGGCAGCGTCTATGTTGGAGCAGGGTCCGGTGCGCGCGCACATCCCCCTTTCGTCCGGCTGGCCGGGGAGGTCGAGGACCCGCGGCAGGCGGGTGTACAGGACTTTCAGCGGGTGGGACAGGCAGGTGGCGGACACGTGCTGGAGGCTCCAGTCCCAGTTGTAGTCGTCGTAGGTGCAGAACTCCGCCAGGCAGCCCATCAGCTGGTAATAGACTTCTCTCGACATGGCAAGTGCGGAACGGTGCTTGGGCGCCACGAAGCCGCTCACCTCTAGCTGCTGGGGGTCAGGCGACACCTCCGGAATGGACGTGCCACCTAGGCTGAGCAAGTGGCACCCTTCCTCCTTGCACTGCTTCTGCATGAGTCTGAGGATGTGCAGCCAGTCTGGGAGCAGGTAGCTGCCTTCCTCCAGGAAGAGGACGTAGCCGCTGTAACCGACCACCTCCCGCAGCGTCTGCCACGTGAAGTGCAGCTGCCACATCCAGTGGTGCTTCTCCTGAGTGAAGGTTGCCTCTCGGTAGTGCCCGTGGCTGTCGGGGTATTCAGCGTTGGTGCAGCCTTTCAATATGGCGGATTCCTTGGGCAGGTCCCTGGGGCAATCGGCCGGGTCAGAGCCTGGAAACTCATCCGGGTAGAAGCTGGCGCTGTAGGCGAAGTAGATGGGCAGCACCCGGCAGAAGTCAATAGTCCTCATGGCATTGGCAGCCTCGGCGCATGGTTTCTCCATGCTCAGCACCAGAAGGAGGCGGCCGGTGGCACCCGGTCCGGCGGTCTGCAGCGACTCGGCCAGCAGTTTCAAGCGGGCGCCGCTCCCTGGCCCTCCACGTATCTGTGCCACCACCACCAGCTCGGGGCGGCCGGAAAAATTATTAGCGTTGAAGATCGGTTGCCGGAGGTTGTTGCGGTAAGCCCCCAGGCGCATCTGCATAGGGGAACCCCGGGGAAGCAGGAAGCCGGAGGGTTGGCGGGCTTCGATGGACAGCGTCGGCACCGGTAAGGGTTCGTCCAATTCATCCTCGTCAGAGGAGAAGAGCAGCCAGGCACAGAAGGCCATTCCCAGGAACAGCAGCAGGGTGGCGATCTTCTTCTTGTGTAGCGTCAACCGCATGGTGAGGAGGAACCCGGGGGTGCACCTTAATGCCCTCAATTAACCGGTGACATATCAGAGAGGCCCCCACTCCATTCTACCCCACTACAGTCTCTCCTGCTACATACTAAGTATGTACCCCTCAAGTGACTGTCCCTTTTATATTACTAGGTGCCCCTGTCCCTGACTAACTGCCCCCCTATACACGAAGTGCTCCACTCTAAGACTATCTGCCCCCCTGTCTTTAACCTACTGCCCCTTTAATACCCTTAGTACCCCTGCCTGTGACTATTTGCCCCCTGTACCCTAAATACCACTTTGTATCACCTGCTGCCCTTTTTATAATCTTAGTACTCCTGCCCGATACTATCTGCCCTTCTTATATATTAAGTATCCCTTCCTGTGATTTACTGTCCCTCCTGTACACTAAGTACCCCAGACTGACACTATCTGCCCCCTCTCTGCAGCTAACACCCCAATCCTAAAGTAATTGCCCCCCTTATTCTCTAAGTAACCCTAGCAGACACTATCTGCCCCCTTGTACACTGATATCCCCTCGGTTAGTACCGCGTTCCCGGGCTCGGGTCACACACCCCTCAGGAAGGCTCCTCGTATCTCCCCCGGGCCGGCTACTTCTCGCTCCGAACCTCTCAGCGAACTTTACCCAGCCATGGGTTTTCATGACGTCACGCCCCGGCAGCCAATGGAAGACAGCTGACGAAGCACACCGCCTTCAGGAGCCGCCCACTGGGGAGTGACCTCTAGAGGACATTAGCCAATAGGCGGAGGATGCTGAGGAAACGACAGGAGGCCCGGTGTCCATGTTTAGTGAGGGCACCTCTGCCAGGCTGTGCCCCGGAGATAAGTAGAAGGGTCAACCGGGCAGAAGGGAAAAGAAAGGGGAGAAGGTTTCAAATCAGTGTGAGGGGTCAGTCCGGGGTGTGTGTGGAGACAGCCAGGTTAGGGGGCTTTCAACATAATTAGGAGGTCATCCAGGTGTGGAGGGGCTGCACCACATTTGGGAAGGGGGGGCAGCCAGGTGTTGGGGGGTCAGCCAGTTTTGGGAAGGCTCAGCCATATTGTGGGGGTCATCCAGGTATGATGCGTCTGCCACATTTGGGGTCCAGCCAGGTGCATGGGTTTCCACCATATATAGGTCATCCAGGTGTGGGGGGTCTGAAACATTTGGGGGGACCTGCCAGGTGTGAAGAGATTCCACCATATTTAGGGTTTATCCAGCTGTTGGGGGGCAGCCAGGTTTTGGCAGGGGCTCAGCCATAATTAGGGGGTCATCCAGGTGTGATGGGTCTGCCATATTTGGGGTCCACCCGAGTACATGGGTTCTGCCATATATGGGATGTCATCCAGGTGTGGTGGTCTGAAATCTTTGGGGGAGGGGGGTCAGACAGATTTGAGAGGCTGCTCCATATTTGGGGGGTGAGCCAGGTGTAAAGAGATTCCACCATATTTGAGGGCTATACAGGTGTTGGGGGGTCAGCAATATTTAGGGGGTCATCCAGGTATGATGGGTCTGCCATATTTGGGGGCCAGCCAGGTGCGTGGATTTCCACCACATGCAGGAGGTCATCCAGGTGTGATTGGTCAGCCATATTTGAGGGGGGTCAGCCATTTGTTGGAGGGGGGTTCCAGCATATTTAGGTTAGTGTGGTGGAGGTTGCACCTCTTTTGGGGATCCTAGCCATAATTACAGGGTCATCCAAGTGTTATGGGTCTGCCATATTTGGGGTGTCGGCCATTTGTAGAGGGTTCCACTATATTTAGGGGTCATCCAGGTGTAATGGGGCTATCATATTTGGCGTTCAGTCTGATGTGGGGGTCAGCCATTTGCGTGGGACTGCTCCATATTTGGGGATCAGCTTGTCACATCAGGCTCTGTACAGGGGAGCTTACACTCTACTCTCCCCCATGGTCACACACTATTATACATTTACATAGCTCTGACATATACCGTAGTGCTGTACATAGAGCACAGAACCAGTCACACCAGTCTCTGCACCATAATTAGGATTATTATCATTTATTCAAGTATTCCGGGAACACTGAAGAGTCCCCGTCAGTCTCGGGCCCTTGGCTGGGTCACACTCGGGAAGGCGGAGGTGCACTTAAAGGGCTTTGATGTGGAATTTACAGGGTGAGCAGTAATAATAGTAATCAGTGACAACCGCTGTTTATAAAAATGAGAATGTCGTGTCAGCAGCGTGACACCCACGCCGCGTCCAGGGTACGGCTGTATAGAAGCGATTTTACTAACTGTCATTATTCCGCTATTACAGGTGATGTCATCCATAATGCCGTGTCACCCGAGCACCATCCCTACCTGTTAGAGCTCAGCAGTGAAGGCCTCTCCCTGCACGTCCCAGCCTGGGGCTACCCGGCCAGTGACATCTTGGCTGCCATGACTGCTGCGGTGACAATTATCTCATTACAATGACTGATTTCTGTCTGCTGCAACTTCAATGACTGCCAACAAATGGTTGCCGTAGATGTAAATCCTGAATGGATGATGCCAAGCTTGCTCTGTGCTCCATGTAAACAATTGTCATTTGTTATAAATAAACAAAGTTTCACCTTTTTTCCATCCTTTGTTACATCGCAAATCTCTCCCAGCTTTTTTGCAGCCACTTCCTGTCCACATCTACTCAACTGCATGGCATTTGTCAGGAGGGTTTCCCGATGGTGACAACAATGGACCATGTCTGTGTAATGTGTGTTGAAATGACTAATTGTAGTCCCCATTGGAAGTCCATGTAGCAGGGTGGCAACATACAAGCACAATTGGGAGACAGGGTCAGAGCGTTGTCACCCTATAACAGGAAGTGCCTGAACAAGACAGGATCAGCAGGAGTTATTATAATGAAAGCTGCAGATTTGGAAATGACTTTTGAAGTGACATTAACACGTCCAGCCTATATGAGATTTTTGTGAGTTACCCGAAACCAATGTAATTGCCGTTACCAGTCATCAGATGCGGCGGTGGCATTCAATTTCTTATTTCTGGACTTTTCCCTTTATTGTCACCTGGTGATCCTGCCAGTAACACACTTCCTGTTCTAGGGTGACAACACTTACGCACTGGGGAATATAAGGGACACGGTCCAGCTAGCTGTTGACCAACAATGCTGAAGGGGGGGGTATAGTTCCAGCCACTGACCACCAATGCTGAAGGGGAGGGGATTTATAGCTCCAGCTACTGACCACCTATGCTGAAGGGAGGGTTATAGCTCCAGCCACTGACCACCAATGCTGAAGGGGGGGTTATAGCCCCAGCTACTGACCACCAATGCTGAAGGGAGGGTTATAGCTCCAGCCACTGACCACCAAT